GCACTGATATGGAGGCACTGATAGAAAGCACTGATGAGGCTGTACTGATAATCAGCTTGGGTATGTTCTGTTACCTAACTCAACCTGTGTTTCCCTCTTAGTGGGGGAGGGGGTGGATAAAAGGAACTGAAGCTATAGCCATCTGCTCCACACTCCCTGTCCACTCACTGGCTAAATCTGGTGCCAACAACTGCAATCCCAGCGCCTAGATGTCAAACTGGAAAGGAGATGTCGGAGGTGGGCAGGCAGTGAAAGCAAGTAAGGGGAAGCCCTCAGTCAGGGTGGAAGGCTCTCCGCGCTCATCACAGCCCCGCCCACCAGAGGAAGACGCTGGTTCCCACAAAAAAGCGCTGAATCCAGCTTCAGCAGGCCTCAATTACCGGGGGGCCCTAGGCATGTATCCTAGGCGCTAGGACGCAATTTACAGTCGCCATGGCGACCTGGTGCTTGGGATTTGTCGAGCCCTGTGCTAATAGCCTGTTACATACTTCTATGAAATTTTTAACATGTGAGTGGAATTTTAACTTTCTTTTTTTTCTCAATCCATTCTAACATTCTGCTTAAACTTTGTGATTTTTAATAGTACTGCTTAGACCTTGAAGAAGGGGACATACCCCGAAAGCTTGTCCTCAAAATTGTATGTTAGTGCAAATAAAAAAAGTATCACGGACAGTACTCAATTGTTTCTGTCGCAAATGCACTAATACGGCTACAATCACCTCAAGCAACTTTCTTATGGAAATAAAGTAGTGGTCTGCACTGTTGGATGTCTCTTTGCTTCCTTTTAGTATATCTATCCCTGGGAGATTGGTAATGACCAGGTGAATGCTGAAGAAGATGACCCTCCTTTTGCAGTGGGGTCCATGATATATGGTGAGGAGACACCCATGAGGTGTGGTGAAGGGCACAGTGGTGTTTATTCACACTGCAGGAAGTCATATTGTTGTTCTGACAAGAATTGATATATTGATTGAGGATTGCACGAAGATTGATTGGTGTACGGGACTCTTATATTGGACTACATGTTTTTTTTTTTGTTTTTTATGCTTTAAGAGCTATATATTTTTTTTTTTTTTGCACATTCACAAAATGATACTGAATACTGGGGTGATCTGTTTATAATAAAGGGTTATGGTATGAGGATATATATTTTATTTTATTTTTAGCACAGTGGCTAAATGGTTAGCATTTCCACCTGGCAGTACTAGGGTTGTTTGTTCAAATCCCAACCACAATACCACCTGCCTGGAGTTTGCATGTTCTCTCTGTGCCTGCGTGGGTTCCCTCTGGGTACTCCTGGTTTCCTCTTGCACTCCAAAGACATGCTGATAGGTGAATTGGCTCCTGTCTAAATTGGCCCTAATATGTGTAAGTATGAATGTAAATTAGATTGTACACCCCTTGAGGGTTAGGGACTGACGTAAAAGTACAATATATATGTAAAGCGCTGCGTAAATTGATGGCACTATATAAGTACCTGAAATAAATAAAATATGTCAAATTGGAAGCACTTCACCAGTATTTAAGATAGATTCATTAACAGAGTGAAGCGATTGCACAGTTGGGTTGCAGCTGCTTTCCTGATTTAACAGCTTCCTGACCACCCTATAGCAGAAATACTGCTAAAGGGCAGCATGGGTGCGCAAAATCACATATATATGCACGTGATTTTGCATTTTCAGGTAGGGGGCATGCGCGAGCCGTGCACCGCCATTTGCGGCTGCAGCTGTTAATCATCGGATCTCGGCCGGTGATTACCCGCTGGCGCCTGGTGATTACCGAGAATCTCCGACAGGGAGGAGGACTGTTTTGTTTACTACCAGTTCTCCTCCCTGTCAGCTCGGACACATTACTTTGGATGGCTTCGCACAGCACAGCCATCAAAAGCAGTGTGCTTACAGTGAAGCACACAGACACCGCCCCCTAGTAAAACACATCTCCCTACACACAGCTAACCCTTTGATCGCCCCCCTACGAATGTCCGCCACAGTCCTGCTATAAGTCGCTGATCGCCGCCATTACTAGTTAAAAAAAAAAAATTCTAGTATCTATACCACCATTTGTAAACACTATAACTTTCATGTAAACCAATTCATTTACACGTATTGGGATTTTTCTTAGCAAAGACATGTAGCAGAATATGTTTTGGCCTACATTTATGATGAAATTAGATTTTTTAAATTTTTATACTGGACAGGTTTAATAGCAAAAAGTTAAAAATATTGTTTTTTTTTTCAAAATTGTCGGCTTTTTTTTATAGTGCAAAAAATTAAAAATGCACAGGCGATCAAATACCACAGAAAGAAAGCTCAATTCATGGAGAAAAAAGGACATAAATTTAATTTGGGTGCAGTGTTGCATGACTGTGCAATCGTCAGTTAAAATAACGCAGCGCCGTAACGCAAAAAATGGCCTGGTCAGGAAGGGGGGTAAATCCTCAGGAGGGCAAGTGTTTAATCTGATTTATATTACAGATTTATTTATTTATTTATAGTTGCTGTTGTAGAGTACTAATAGCACAGGGAGGGAGTGTTCTAGTTTTAGAGTGTAGTTGGAAGCCTGGGTGTGAGTCAGATGGTTTACTTCAGGTCAGCCTGGAGGTATCTACAGGTCAGTCCCCTGGTACCTCCCCCTGGTTCTAGAAGCTTGGAGAAGTTTCTAGAAGCCACTGGGTGGAGGCCAGGAGGAGCTGATTTGCATATTCATGGCAGTATGACCAATCCCAGGCAGGAGGATTAGCAGTGTGGGAGACTGGCCCAAATATATGAGACAGCCTGGCCAGCAAGAGAATCAGGCAGAAGAGAGAGTGCTGAGGTGGGCTGCTGTGTAGTCTGTAGGGCTCTACAGGTCAGTCCTCTGGTACCTCCCCCTGGTTCTAGAAGCTTAGAGAAGTTTCTAGAAGCAACTAGGTGGAGGCCAAAAGGAGCTGATCTGCATATTCATGGAATTATGACCAATCCCAGGCAGGAGGCTTGGCAATATGGGAGACTGGCCTAAAAATATGACCGAGCTTGGCCAGCAATAGAATCAGGAAGAAGATGGAGTGCTGATGTGTAGGCTGGAGGGCTCTACAGGTCAGTCCTCTGGTACCTCCCCCTGGTTCTAGAAGCTTGGAGAAGTTTCTAGAAGCCACTAGGTGGAGGCCAGGAGGAGCTGATCTGCATTTTCATAGAATTATGACCAATCCCAGGCAGGAGGCTTGGCAGTGTGGGAGAATGGCCCAAAAATATAAGCGAGCCTGGCCAACAATAGAATCAGGAAGAAAATGAAGTGCTTAGAGTGTGCTGCTGTGTAGCCTGAGAGGGGACTACAGAGAAGAGGGGGTTCTGCCTCCAGGCTGGAGGCAGAAAGGAAAGGAAGCTGGCAGAGGGAGCTCTACCCTACAGTCCACTGAGGAAGGACAGCCTGTTAGCCTGGAAGGAAACAAGCCAGCAAAAGCCTGAAAGAAGTTTTCCAAAGCTGCAGGGACACAAGGACATTGTGAATACCTCTACACCCCTGGGGTCTACAGGAGAGAGGGCTGCTAGGTGCTATACCCAACCAGTTCTCCCTGGGACAGTGCTGTAAGCTTGTACTAGAATCTCTTGCTCTAGGACACTCTTCAAAAGACAGTCAGATGGATGGGTAGTTTCTAGCTGGGGACTGAAGAAGTTTCACTTAGAGGGGACCAAGAGCTCCTCACAGAGACTGATGCCACTCCAGAGGTATTAGAAAGTCCAAGAGTTATTCGTTTCAAGTCGAGTTGAGCATCCCATATATCCCAAGATCAGGGGTGTCAAACTCAATTTCATTGTGAGCTGCATCAGCCTTATGGTTGTCCTCATAGGGCCAGTTGTATCTGTGGCTGCATGGAGAAGTGCAGGATCTGTCTTCCTCTCTGCTGTTGATTGCTGAGACAAGGTGGGGCAAAGACGAAAAGGGTGCTGCAGCTACAGGAGAGGTGCAAGGGCCAGATGAAATGACCTGGTGGGTTGGATTTGGCCCATGGGCCTTGTGTTTGACACATGTGCTCTAGAGTAGACCCTATCCAAGTTGTTTATCTCCAAATAAAACAACAAAAACAAGCCCGTGAACTCATTACTGACTCTGAATGAACGATGGAAAATGTGTGTTGCCTGGCCATACAGGAAAATAGGGGAACCCAAAACCAGTGTTTCTCAAGGGGGTAGCGCTACATGTACAATACCTTTTTTGGCGTCCATAGAAGGATACAGCTTCTGTATGTGTGTATAGCCATTGGGCCCTAGGGGCTAAAGTTTATTTTGCCTAGTTCCACCTGACCATGGTTCTGATACATTTTTGGTAATATACTGTTCCTTTATTCCTCAATAGACTCAGAGAAATCGATTTTACTGGAAGCACAAACATCTCATTTCTCCTTTTTGCTACTTTTAAATTTATCTGAGCAACTGACATTGCTGTTTCCGTAGTCCCAATCCGTACAGAGTACACATTGACTCGTACCTCCTGTGTAATCAGATATTCTATACATAGATACAATAGTTTTGGAATAAATTGTGTCTAGAAGGATTAGTGATTTCTTTGGAGAAAACTGAAGCCCTTCAAAGGATTCACTGGAACACATAAACGATGACGTCAATGAAATGTTCCAGTTTCCCAAACTTCTCTGCCCTCTAATGGCTGAACTTCGGCACTACACGCTAGATATCAGTTTGAAGGATTGGTCATAAATCCAGGAACAGAAGACGTTCAAAATTCTGAAGCCTGGCGCGCCATGTTTATTAGTGGCAAATGACATTATGTGAAAAGCATACTGACACTTGATGACAGAACAACAGGCATTTTATAGAGCGCTCTATCTACAGGTTACTGTGTCTGAGGTTTCGTTATTGTTTTTTTCCGTTTTGCAGAGGAATACGTGACTTGTGTACGTAACGCTGATCGTAAGCTTGACGTGCACAGTCTGAGGCGAAGGCAGTGGAGGTGGAGCCGAGGGGATGATGTCACGGCGAACTGGCGCGGTAAGGCTAAATTCTGACATGGCGGGAGGCGGGAAAAGAACAACACAAGATACGCAACAGGTGAGGGGACCCGCGGAGCGTACAGGGGCCACAGGCTCCTCGCTACCTATCCCGGCTATAGTCGAGGCTGCGGTTGTATCCTGTACATATCGCCTGACATAGCGGCTTCATCCACTTACAGCTGGCCATACACACGGATGGCTGAATGCATGCAATTCTACCATACCTCACCGTTGGGGTGTATAGAAGTATATGAGTCAGGATGGAGCAGGACTTCTATTAATAAAAGCCATATAATCCACAATTAAGGGGAAGTTCTGGGCAGTCCTGCATACCGTTTACACGGTACAAAAAAAAATAAAAAATCGGAAGATCATTCAACCATTTGCCTATCAGACACTTATACCCCCCTTCCTGCCCACGCCCAATTTTCAGCTTTCAGCGCTGTCGCACTTTGAATGACAGTTGCGCGGTCATGCAACACTGCACCCATATGACACTTTTATCATTTTTTTTCACACACATAGAGCTTTCTTTTGGTGGTGTGTACTCGCCGCTGGGTGTTTTATTTTTTGCGCTATAAACAAACAAAGAGGAAAAAATGTCTTTCTTTCTATTATAAAATTTTGCAAACAGGTAATTTTTCCTCCTTCGCTGACATACGTTGATTAGGCTGCACTGAGTGGTGGCACTGCTGGGCATACCCTGATGATCAGTGCCGATGTGCTCTGTGACAGCTGCTGGTTATCGCAGTGCTTCCCTCATGCTGTGTCAGTGTGAGGAAAGTGCAGCTGATATCCAGCAACTGTATTTACCTGGTGATCTGCTGTGTCGTTGGACAATGCTGATCATGTGGTAAAAGGCCACTGTGATTGGCCTTTTACCACATCACGTGATCAGCTGCGTCCGTAGGATGTCCTCCCAGAACTGGACAACCTCACTGTAGCCTTCATTCGGTTATAGCACTGTTGGCAAGTGGAAAAACCCCCAAAACATTATATATTTTCTGAAAGCAGACACCCTGGAGAATAAAATAGTGATAGTTCCTTTTTCTTTTTTTTGACACAATCTTAGCGCAACGGTTTAGGAAACACACAATCTGAGTATAAATAAATACACTAAAGTTAATTATAAGCATAGTCAATCACCCAATATAGAATATAAATTATCAGGGTGTGCTGAGTATAGCCTGGTTCACATCTATGCAGGTTGTTGCGGATGTTGGAATCGCAGCAATTCCGGCATCCGCAGTAAAATCTGCTGTTTAAAAACGCACGGTGCTGCCATTCATTCTGAATTTAAAAATACATTGTGAGTGTGGTAACCTCAGGGAAATTGCATGGCAAAAAAGCACCATGTGAGTTCCCGGCTGCTGTGTTTTTAGAATGGTGCAGGAACCTTATTCCTGCATGAAAAGCGGGCTTGGCAACCTATTCAAATGAATGAGCTGCTGTGTGCCTGCGCACACAAGGGCCACCAACCTGCATAGATGTGAACCAGGCCTAAATAGTTACTCAACATGTCAAACCATAAAGTGGAGCAATACTCACCTCAGCTCCAGCGATGCAGCGTCCTGCTCCCTGCCCAGCTGGTGACATCTTCTGGTGTGAGGCTTCCGGGGTCTCGATTGCTAACTGCTGCCATTGGCCAGGCGGGGATGACGTCACTCCTGTACATGTGTGGGAGTTGAGTCAGATTCGGCATTGCTGAATTGTACAGTGAGCTGTGCGTGCGCTGCTCACTGTACAAGGCCAGACAGGTAAGTGGCTTTAATGCAGAATAACCTAAGCGTTTCTCTGCATTAAAAATCCTGTCTGTCCATCCATTTTTAATGCCTTAGTTTGAAGTTCTACTTTAAAATTGCATGTGCCTGTGAAACAGTGACAAACTTTGGTACCCTATATTTTCCATAGGCGACAACTGAAAATTCCTACAGGTCATCATTATAGGGTTAAAGAGGAACCAAACCCATCAATTTTAACAGTTTCAAAAAACTGTTTTGTTCCTGGCATGCAATTCTAGCTGTCACATTGGCTTTAGCTCTCAAACAAACTATCAAACCATCAAGTGGCTGATGTCCTAACTGATCACATCATGGCAGTTGCAGATCAAACAGGCTAAGATGGCAGCTTCCTTGGCTGAAAAGGATAGGAGGGTTTACTATAACTGTGAATAAGGGGTCTATAATTATTGCTGTCACTCTCTGGCATGTGCGGCGGTATGTATCGTAAAATGCAATCATTCTTTTCAAGCATAGGCTCCCCTGACGCATATTTATGTTTGTACATTTGTGTATGTGGTGGCTCCAAAATTTTATTTTTTTTTTGAAGGGGGGGGTACTGTGTGTCGCATTTTAAGTGCTTGAGTGTGACCAAGAGAGCAAGGGGGCCCCCCAACTGTGAGGTCAGCCTTCACTTTGCTAAGACTACAGATAGGGTGAGAGGGTTCCACAACCCAAATCGTCTCCTGTTACAAGAGAGTCTGTTGTTTTCAGTTGCTTTAGTTCAGTACACCTTATCACAGTTTGCCACTTTGAGACATAGACTCATGCAGGCCATAGATGGGTCGAAAATCAGCCGATTTTTCGTCCGAAAACAAAATTGGCCGATTTTCGGATCGTTAGTGGGTTAATTGTTCGAACATTTTTTGGTATTTTGGCAGATTTTTTTTTTTTCGGTAAAGTTGGAAAAAGATCGGCCGATTTTGCCGATCGGCCCGATTTTCGCGGCAATTATGGGCAAATCAGCCGATCTTTTTACCGATAAAATATCTGCGCATGAGCAGTGACCTGCAAGAGGAAGACAAAAGGATGATGATGAGGAAGCAGAAGAAGAGGATGAGGAAGCAGAAGAAGAGGATGAAGAAGCAGAAGAAGAGGATGAGGAAGCAGAAGAAGAGGATGAGGAAGCAGAAGAAGAGGATGAGGAAGCAGAAGAAGAGGATGAGGAAGCAGAAGAAGAGGATGAAGAAGAATTCCAGTCCTGCAAAAAGTGTCCCTGCAGAGAGCTCCGCTATTTCTGTGACAGTGCTTTGACATTTATAGCGGTTGCAACAATGTATCTATTTGTTTCTGAATAAAAACATCTGTATCCTAAATGGATACAAATAGATACATTGTTGCAGCCACTATAAATGTCAAAGCACTGTCAAAGAAATAGCGGAGCTCTCTGCAGGGACACTTTTTGCTGGCTGTAGACGGGATGAAAATCGGCCGAATTTTTTATTTTTTTTTTACCATTCCTGGTAACGTCGGCCGCTTGAACGACCAATTTTTGTTTTTTTAAAGAAAAATCATCCAGTTTTCTCCCCATCTATGGCCTGCATTACTAGCCCATTCAGTACCGCAGTCTACTGTTTTAGTGTCTCCCCCATTGCTCTGAAAGGAGGACTCTTGCTACTGCACGTGTCCTTGCAGGCAGGAATACTGTTAGTATCTCATATCAAATCTATTCCAGCTGTAAAGGAACTTGCTTCATCAGGCCAATTCGCCACCTATAAGAATTCAATTCCACTGAAGTCTACTCCTGCCCCTTTCTCAACTTGAACAGTTCTTGCCTTCATCTTCCTCATAAAGGGACTCTCCCCAATTTTGCTATCATCAGTCTAGGGGGAGCGTTTCTTGCTACTGTACCTTTTTTCCACCACACACAGCATTTTGCTTTTAGGCCAAAAAGTTCAATTTTGATTTCATCTGGCCAGAAGCATCTTCTTCCACATGTTTGCTGTGTCCCTCACATGGCTTATCGCAAACTGCAAATGGGACTTCTTATGGCTTTCTGTCAACAATGGCTTTCTTCTTGCCACTCTTCCATAAAGGCCAGATTTGTGGAGTGCAGGACTAATAGTCGTCCTGTGGACAGATTCTCCCACCTGAGCTTTGGATTTCTGCAGCTTGGGATGTTAAGCAGTTAATCAGTCCCCCCCCCAGTGTCAGAATGCCTGCCGCAGTCCCACTATAAGTTGCTGATCGCTGCCATTACTAGTGTAAAAAAAATACAAATAAGAATTCCAGTGTATATATACCGCCATATGTAGACCCTATAACTTTCACGTAAACCAATTAAATTACATGTATTGGAATTTTTCTTTTTTTTTTTTTTTTTTTTAGCAAAAATGTAGCAGAATACATTTTGGCATATATTTATGAAGAAATTTGATCTTTCCCGAGTCATCTTCTAGGACAGCTCACTTGAGAGATAGGGCTCCTCCCAGGAAACACCCGCTCCACCTTTTTTTCCCCCTTTATAGGCGTCCTCTCTCCCATTGGCCCCCAGTTTTAGTGTTTCCTCCGGCCAGGAAGGAGCTACGCCCGTTTTTTATTTTTTATCTGGGCTCTCTGGCGGAGTACAGAGGGTCCCTGGCTGGGGCCCCCCCCTTCCTCCAAGCAAGGCAGGGTCCTTGTGAGGGGAGGGGGACCTTTCAGCCAGTTTCACCAGGGATGCCCGTTGTGGGATGGGGGCGTCGGCCCCAGATGGTCCCAGCGGGGCTCTCCAGGGGGGTAGAGCCCGCTCCGCCGACCGAGGCATTGGTGCCTTTCCCTGGGGGTTCAGGTAAGTCTTACCTGCTCCTGGATCCCGTGCAGCATGGCCAGGAGGCTCGGCTGCGGTGGGTCTGGACGCTGCGATCGCGTCACTTCCGGGCGCCGGGTGTCGTCACTTCCGGTCGCCGGGTGTCGTCACTTCCGGCGCAGGAGCAGGGAACGGCCGCCGCCATCTTGGAAATGGGCGGCGGGCCGTGGAAGGAACCCGTGCCACGGCCGCTTCTCCACCGGCGGCCGTGAGAGGGGGGTCGGCGAGGGGGGATCGCAGGGGGGGGGGCGGAGCCCACCTGCCCCTGAAAAACCGTCGCACCGAGGCAGAGTCTGCGGCGGCATGGAGGCAGATCTGTCAGGAGCGGGGGAGGCCTGCAGTAAGGTAAGGGCCTTGTTTGGCAAACTTCCTTTTGTTTTTACCCCCCCTCCCCCCCCCCCCTCCCCCCCCCCCCCCCCCCCCCCCCCCCCCTCCCCGGATGATTGGGTACCCCCCACGCACACACAGCCCCCCCTCCCCCCCCCCCCCCAG